AACATTGTTTGTTGCGGACAACTACTGGTGTATAATGCTATGTAGTATAATAAATGATAAGACACTTGTTCTTTGCTTTGTTTTATTTTATATAAGAAGGTGTAACATTAAAATATATTAAAGTGCACATAAACACACACAAAACTCAAAGTACATATGGGAGGGAGGGGTTCTTGCAGACCAATCACAGCGCTTGCGGTCTGCGTAGAATTGACGCGCTGTTAGATTTTTGGAGAGGTGCACGTCAGGCTACGGCGTATGGGTGTGCGTCTATGCGTAGGCTACGGCGTAGGTCCGACGCAGAAGTATAAATCAGCCTTAAGGGTTACTGGAAAGCAACAGGCAGGTGAGTTTGTATAAAGAGTTGGAGCAAAACTCTGCAGGACTGGTCTAGCCTGGTCTAACATGTCCTTCTTGACAGAACTTTAATTTTTCCTTTCAGGCCTTTCAGGCAATAATGAGATTAATTCTGCTCAAAAAGAAGAAAGACTGACTGCCTACTTTTTAATTCTAAGATCTTACCTCCAACCATATAAGGCTGTATTTTTAGCTCCAGTGAAGAGATCAAAATGTTCCTGCCTCAATCTTATGAATGTATCCGTATGCTCCGTATTCAAAACAAAATTTAACAGGACTTATTTCTACATGTATTTTTACTGTTGATTTTGCCCATCTTGTAGTGTTTGGTCATTTTAGATAGATTTTTTTTAGTTTTTCGTCTTTTTTTCTGAATTTGTCTTATTTTAACTGTAATAATGCAAAAAACAATACTTAAACATTTCGAACAAAAATCAAAATTTTGACAAAAAAAGTCTTATACTAGATAAATACACACACACTCTTATTCCTATCATTATGAGCACATTCCATAGGCATAATGGTTTTTACACTGTACAAACATATTCTATTCCCCTAAACCTACCCATTTTAAAATAGTTTTATATTAAAACTATACTTATTTTCTATACTTGATATAGACCATTTATTTTCTATACTTGATATAGAAAAAAGGTGCATAATTTATTTGAATATTGTCTATCTTAAAGAAAAAAATGTCAGTGAACTAAAATATTGAACATTAATTTCATAACACTAAAAGCAGAAATGAATTTATTATAAAATTATTGTCTCCGGTCAGTTTATACAGTGAACAATATGAAAGTGACCCCAAAATTTAATACCAGAGGGTTAAACAAATTAATTATTTCTCGCCTTGTTAGCAAAGTACTGTTAAACGTTTAAAAATCACTAAAGACTTGTAATCATGTTTATCACACATGTAATACAACTAAAACTACTTTTTCAAATAAACGACGGTTATTTATGGCGACGCAAAGAATTGTGGGTTATCTGTAGCAGCGAAGGATACACCTGCATGCATCCTCCGAATTCCTGTAAAAGAAGGTCGCATTCGAAGGTCGCATTCGGAGTGTCCTACTTGCTTTTCTGAAATGAGACAATCTCGATGACGTATGCAGCCTTCGAATGCGACCTCCGGAGGGCGCAGCCTTCTAAATGAGACACAGCTAGTGTTGTCTCAGATTTGTCTGAGAGAGAGCGCGCGACACTGACGCACACTGAACGCTCACTCTCTCTCAACGTGTGAGATAGAGCGAGCGAGAGACAGAAAAGACTCGCAAGCCAATGTAGCCTATCCCTATGAGAAAATAATAATAATACTACTAATAATTCTGCTTTTTAATAACAAAGGCTTACAATAAAAGTAAAACATTTAGGCCTGTGCATACACCAGGAAAAAAAAAAAAGGTCATTTTCAAGTAAAATTATAATTTTTTTCAATAATGAAAATATTTATTATTTTTTCTTTCTTTCTTTCTTTTTCAGATTGTCATCCAATTGTTGTAAGTGATCAATCTAGCAGTCATCCTGCATCTTAGATTTGCCATGTTCAACACACTGATTATTAATCATTGATTACAAATTAGTACATTTTAATGTGTACAGATATATGTATTATCTGACTCATATTGAGTGATGCTTTTTCTTTTTCTCCCCTTTGTTTTGGTGTCAGTAGCTGCTTCACCCCAAAGGCTCCACAGCACTGAGTGTCTTTGGCTTTGTAAGTATATTTTTTTTAGCTGACTGTTCCATTCTGTTAATGTATTTTATAGTTGGTTAGTGACATTTTATTATTTAATTAAACAACATATGTGAATAGTGTAATGTGCCTTCCTGCTATACTTCTTTTAATCTTTTTGTGATTGCTTTTTCATATTTTTTGTCAGATTGGTCAAGGTCATCTGAAAGAGTTCACCTGTGCCATGTAAGTAATTGAATGCGGCTAGGACATAATATATTAAGATTAATTTTGTTGTGTTTGAGTCAGGGTGTTGTGAGTGGTCAAGTAGGGCTAAAATTAATATTAATTTTACTGACATTTTACATATTACATTTT